AGTGTAAAACGAGATGCTTCCTCGTAGTGGGCATTTTTTCCCTGTACTGTGTAAGGAGTTTCATGATCTGCTGAATAGAAGTTTTCATTTTCACTTCCTCTGAACTATCTAGAAAACAATAGTTGCAGTTTATTCTACATTTATGACTTATTAAAAACAAACAAGTGAGATCTGAGATCTATTAATTATTAATTGATCTGTTAGTCTCTTTAATCTTGATCCACATACTGGTGAAAGGACTGGTAGTAGGACTGGTAGTAGTTAGAAACTAACTACTCTATCGAGTAGTTAGTTTCTACCCTAAGCCCTTAAAACATACATGCCTCATGCACTTATTCATACTTTATATTTAATATTCATACACAGTTGCACCCAAATGAATGCATCTCAGGCTTCAGTATCTTTCCCATTAATGCTTTGGTGTGCAGACTGGAGTCACCAACCCTCTAATGACTTGCTCTAGCTACTCTACTATAGCCACCCTGTAGCAAAGTGTTGTAGTACTACCAGAAAAGCTTCAATAATTCCAGTGCCGTCTAACACATTAGTCAAAATCTGAATTGTGTTCATCTGGGTCGATGTCTGGTAAGTGTGAAAACCACAGCTGCTTATTCACATCATTTTCATACTTGTCAAATTGTTCAGTTACTCCTCGTATCATATGGATGAAAAAACAATCATTCTTATCAGGGTAGAAAAAGAGACAAGTGGGTCCAAGCCATGTCTCTGTCTGCATAACAGAGCCACTAAATTATCCTACAGAGTCAAGATTCAAGTTTTTGCTTTACTTTGATATTAATACTATTGGGGAAACAAACAAACAAATGTTATGTTAAAAGTTTGCAGAGTGTGAAGGTGGCAAACTCAGTGTGGGGCTGTTTCCTAAACTGCTGCAGTGCTCATTTATTAAGAATTATAGAAATAAGTTATTCAAACAACAGAATCAGAATATCGATCCTGTGCCTCTTGCACTTTTCTGATTGATTGCACGAAGAAGAAAGAAAGAAAAGTCAGGGATGCCAACTAGGAAACACTATATCTGTGATCTTCTATTCATTGTACAAGTATTTTGTCCTCTTTTTGAACTCGGGACATCTGTCTTTCACAAAACTGAGATCTAAGTAACAGACCTGAGTCAATGGCAGTATTGCTTAAGTGTTTAATTATGTTTTGGATCCAGTTTATGTCTTTACCGACTTGTCCCTTTTTTAAAGTAAAACTTACACACACACCCCCCTTTCTTCTTTTTTTTTTTTCTTTTTTTTTTTCAAGTGCATGCCCATGTTTGGATACTTGCGTTTCAAGTCATTTTAAAGCAGCTCTGTTACTTATATGTCAAACTAATATTACAAATAATATATTCATAGCATAAAATGTCTGTGTTTACTGTGGGTCCTCAGGTTGTGGTGACCAACACAGTTCCCCATGAAGTACAGAAGCTGCAGTGTCCAAAGATCAAAACTGTGGATGTCAGCATGATATTAGCTGAGGCTATCCGCAGGATCCACAATGGCGAGTCCATGGCTTACTTGTTCCGCAACATCACTGTGGATGACTAGTGGCATCAGAGGTTGTCAGTGATAGAGAGCAAGTCATAATTTCCTGTGTTATACATGTTAAAAAAAAAAAGCAATGTAAGTCATTTGAAGCGATTCTATAAATTGCCCAAAGTTATTTATCTTCTTACCAGAAGTTATTAAAAAATATTTCACTTGTTAAAAACTGATACGTTTTCGGGCGTGTCGTGGATATTATAAAAAACAAGACCTGTTTCAGTTTTTTAAGGCACGTCTCGCTGCTCTCATTCATTTCACTTGAACAAAAGATGCTTTGCATTGGTATTATTTTGTCATACTCGAACAGTACCTCCTATCTAGTGACTGAGCTTAATCTGCAAAGGAGAAGAGCTGGCAAGAATTTGTTGGCTTTACTAACCAACACCTTGCCAGGTCTTGTGATCAGGGCTGCTCAGGCACTGATTTCTTTGCACTGAACGAGGCATGTTTCATCTAATGAGTAAGAACAAGTATACAAACTGTAGTTCTCAAATGATCATTTTTATGCAGCTTTTCTTTGCATCTTCTGTGGAAATATTTGGGGAAATAAAAATGTTTTTGAATGTCGTCACCACAGGTTAAAATGTCACTCACTTTTGTTGTATTGCACTCTCAGCAGGAAGTTAAGAGCGAATGGCTTCATACCACCGCTGCAAGCTGCTGTGGGCGAAATGAGCCTTTATCATATTCTCGCTTTATTAATTGACTGAAATGCCGTTAACTACTACCTGATTGTGACAATGCACTACATATGACATAGCTAAAGGGAGGTGTGCACCACACTATTGCCAACTGATGCAGGGAACTGCGATGGTTTGGTTGAATGCCTTTGATGAAGGTGAATATTGTTCTCTGTGTAATTAAAAGTACAGATAATTTGTGCTACCTACTTTAGATGGCCTATATTGAAGCCTTGACTTGGATAGACAGTTTTGCAACATACTGACATCTTTGTAAGGTGTCCCCTGTTTGTGCATTTGTTTTGCCTTCTAATTTTTAAGATGATTTGCGACACAGCAGCACAGTTCTGATGTTAGTCTCCAAGTGATTATGGCCTCTGAGAAAACTTCAGAGTGAAGGTTGAGTGAAAATGACTTTATTTTCTATGCTGTTTGAGCCTTTTGCTCAGGGAAATATACTTTAGAAGCCAATGCACAATTATTTGCTCTTGTGCTTATGAAGGTGTTTTACTGTTGTGTGCGCACACCCTAATACTTCGAGAATGTCTTCCATACAGCAGTACTGTACACCTGTGCTCGTTTTATCTTATCATTTAGGTTTGCTATAGATGCTGGATGTTATTTGATAAGGTTGGGCACTCTTGTGCACAGAGTTGGGTAAAAATGCCATTACCATGTCAGCTCAAATTTCTGTCCACAGCGTGTTTCAGAAATCCTCTGTATTTACTGTTTCCCTGAACCCCTCCCCATCCCAACCCCACCTTTCTGTCAGACTGTACTGTGTTTGTCACTGTTTGTGAAATTAAAAAAAACATTGCCTCTGGTTCTGCCTCATCTCTACCAAATAAGGAATTTTATTATTAATTAAATTAATTAAATCCACAGCATCTGCCACTTTTGTGAAGGAAAAAAAATGTTATTTGAATAACTCCCTTTGCAAAACATGTGCACCTTAAACTACTATCTATCTATACATTCTAGATTATTTGAGTCTGTTCTGTTTCTCTAAAGGCTGCACCATGTAATGAAAATCATATCTAATTTGTGCTGCATCAATCAAAAACAAAAAAACGCTTATTGGCTTTATAACATATGTTATAACACTCAAGCTAAATAATTGCATCCATATTACATTTCTGCTTAAAGGCTACCACATAGCTTATAAAGTCACAAGCCCAAATTTGACATCAGTTAACACAATGGGGCGTCCATTAAACATTAAACATCCATTAAACAAGTTCTAAAAAAAAAAAGAAAATCAATCTTTAGCTGTGTTCTTGACATACTGCCTGACTATGAACCTTATGTAGACTGTTTGTACTATATGGCATAGCCATTACCCTTTACAGCTCCATCACTTTCACTTCAGAACCTCTCTGAAGCCTTTGTGGTCCAGGACTGTTTCCAAAGAAGGACGTGGATTCAGAAATCAAACTGGATTCTCTGAAAACCAAAATAGTCACAGAATTTCTTTTTTGTTCCATAACAGCTAGTTTACTGATGCTGTAGAGGTGCAAATGTCTGTTTAGTTTTATAGGTTGTGGTGCTTAACAAAATTTATTGGAAAAACAGGATATGGGGACTGGATTAAAGTTTAAGAAGTACCAGGTTTGGTTTGTGGGCCTTAGTTTTGAATTCAACTAATATGTAATAAAAGAAACTGATCTGTCAGAATCAGAGAGATTTAAAGATTACAGATACATTTGATGTCCAAATGTTCTATTTCAGCAAGGAAAAGCTAACATTTTGTTCCATTTGTAGTTTTTGGCTACAAAGAACCAGATTTCTCTTTGCTTTTCTGGGTTTTTATATGTATTTGGTTTGGATATTTAATGAATCCTGCTAAAACAATCTTGCAGAGACAAATATAAAATTGAATACAGCTTTATGAGAAGGCTTTCAGTTACTTTTAACATGCACTGTGATTCAAATGTTAGCATAAAGATCCAGTATGCAGTTGCCATTAGGTCTTACCGCTTCCTTAAAAACACCTGATGTGGACGTCAGAGATCCTATACTTGTTCAAAACTTCTCAGGTATATAAACAGCACTGAGGAGCTTGGACCAAGTCTAGGAGCAGAGACAAACACTTTGCCAGGCAGTGTAGGGATTTCAGAGGTCATACTCACAAATCAGACTTTTCTACTTGTTGCTATAGTAGCAGTAATCCTATCTGAGTAGTTTGCATTTCCTTTACCCTTATCTACAGCTGAGCCCTGTGCTCTGCCAGCAACCTAAGTAAAGAGGTTTAAATCGCACCTGAGTTTTAAAAGGCAGGGGTCCCCCCTCCCGGGTCTTCGTCCATGTGCTGAGAAAGATGGGTTTGTGAATCTCAGTGGAGCAGCTGAGGGCAGCTGTGAGTTTAAACAAGGCACTAAGAGGAACTAAAGATGTGATAATTACAGATCACTTCCTTGTCTCATTCTGAGGAAACAATGTACCTTATCTGAGCATTTTTGGAAAAAGGAAGTGCACCTTTTGGTCTCTTTCTCTAAGCCTGTGTTGCATTTTAACAGTCAGGAAATGCTAACAATGTGTATGAAGTTCTTTTAGAGAACATGAAAAGTGAACATTAAATAGCATGATACTTTATCATGCTTTATTAGGCAACTTTGTCCTGTCATTGCTGCCATTGTTAAGAGTGGAGAATTAGAGGACCATCTGGAGTAAGCTCTTTAGTCAAATCATCATGTGAATTTCTTGAAGCAGTGGATCAGATTTTAGTCTCACCCCACCAGTTTGGTTGGAATGAAAACCTCTTTATCAGCCTTTGTTGCATGTTTCAGTATACACAGTAGATACAAAATCCAGCTAAACAAAACATGTGAGACATTACTCATCCAGATTTAATCTCAGTAACTAATTTTACTTCAGATAATAAAATTAGTAACTAGATTTTATTTTGCACTTCAGGAGGTTTTGGAGACATAGTCAGTGGTGTCTCTGTTCAACTCCTCATTAACACAAATATCTAATCAGACAGTGACGTGGCATTAACTCAAGATGACCTGCTGAAGTTTGAACAGGGTTAAGAATTGTTTTTTTATGTTCAACGGGCTGGTCTGAGATTTTCCTGTGCAGCATCTCTTGACTTTACAAAGACTGGTCCAAGAAACATCAAATATCCAGCATGCGGCAGTTCTCTGGGTGCAAAATACCTTAATGCCACACGTCAGAGGAAAATGGCCAGACTGCCTCGAGCTGCCTCGAGCTGATAGGAAGGGAACAGTAACAAGGTGTGCATAAGGGCATCACTGAGCGTGCAACATGTCAAACCTTGAAGCAGATGGGCTACAGGAGCAGAAGACCATACTAGTGCCATGCTGTCAGTTATGAAATAAGGCTAGATTTGGCACAGTTCATGGTGGTGTAAAGGTTTCTTGCCATATTTCGGCATAGTTGAAACGCCACGGCCTACCTGTGACCACTGTGCGCCCATCTTCTGACAGATGCTTCCAACACGAAAACAGACCTTGTTATAAAACTATCATGATCTCAAACTGGTTCTTGCACATGACGATAGCTTCCCTGTATTCATGTCTGTGAAGGTTCTCAGTCATCCAGGTCATCGTAGTCTAAGGAGCCAAGGTGTGAGCCACACCCGCTTTCTCACCTTGGCTCATGTGATTAGGTAGAGGATCATCAGGGGGTCCTTTGTCCCTCTTTGGGAGGAAACTCCCACTGGGTTTAAATCTGGGACTCTCCACCATTTGACCCTTAGAACTGAAGAAGCTTCTCGGATGAGAGGTGAAACGTCTTCAAGCAACTCAAAGAAGTCCAGATGCTTTTCTTTCCAAGCTCCTTAGACTTCCCTGTATTCAAATGACCTCCACAGTCACCAGCGCTCAATCCAATAGATCACCTATGGGAAACCTGCAGCAACTATGTGATGTTGTCATGTCTCAGAGGAATGTTTCCAGCACCTTGTTGAATCTGCGCCACGAAGCTGTTCTCGAGGCGGAAGGGGGTACAAACCAGTACTCACAATGTGTACCTAATAAAGTGAAGTCATCAAACAATGCACACATCACCAAGTGCACCACCAGAGGGCAATGCAGCACAAAACAGAGCTTGTGCCGTTGAGATTGTGTTAAAGACCAACCAAGCGATCCTATTAGTTGATTTAATCCACTCAGTACCAACATAACTTTTCTAGGGTCTTAGGAACAAACTGTAAGACATGTCAGTTGGGTGATTCAGCAGGTTTTTTTTACATTTCCGTCTTATAAAAAACAAAAAAACAAATGAAAAAACCTTTAGAGATCTGGTTAGACCAGCCCCATTCTCTAGAAGGGAGGTATAGTTCGTCTGTAAGTTTTGCCACAAATGCATTGAAGTGTGCAACAAGAATTAGTGTCTGGGTGCCTGGGCTTTCCTCCTACAGTACTAAAATTTGCATGTTAGGTCAAAGTTTCTGTAGGTGTGAATGTGAGTGGCAGTGGCTGTCTCTGCACCATTAGCCCTGTGATAACTGGGCCAACAGACTAGACAGTCTCACCCCACCAGTTTGGTTGGAATAAAGAGACCCAGACCCTGAATCAGGACAGCAGAAGAAAATTGATGGATTGATGTTGAATTGATTTGAATTCTTATTATAAGAGAAACAGTATAGGAGGTCTGTGCAGTGTGAATCTTTTTAAGGACATACAAAATAAAGTTGTTTTATTTATTTAATGGTCACCTGTTTTCACGTGTTAGACTTTAATTTTTTGCTTTTTTTAGATTCATAACTTTTCACTTATGACTGTGAAAACTTCCCCTAGTTTTACAGTAACTTTCATACCGTTCCTGTTTGTCTGCTCTGCTGCTCTGTCAAATAACAAAGTCACAGCAGTAAACAAGATAAAATAGTCGGGATAGACAGGATTAAATTCA